CACCAGATAAATACCATTTACAGTAGCCCACAAGAAGATAAAATACTTAGGAATAAATCTAACCAGAGACGTAAAAGATCTATACAATGAAAACTACAAGGCACTACTGCAAGAAACCAAAAGAGACCTGCATAAGTGGAAAAACATACCTTGCTCATGGATAGGTAGACTCAACATTGTGAAACTGTCAATTCTATCCAAAGCAATCTACAGATACAATGCAATCCCGACCCAAATTCCAACGGTATTTTTTAATGAGATGGAAAAACAAATCAACTTCATATGGAAGAGGCCCCAAATAAGTAAAGCATTACTCTAGAAGAAGAACAAACTCGGAGGCCTGACACCACCCAATTTCAGAACCTATTATACCGCCACGGTAGTCAAAACAACCTGGTACTGGGACAATAACAGATACGTAGACCAGTGGAACAGAATCGAGAATCCAGACATAAATTCATCCACCTATGAGCACCTGATATTTGACTAAGGCCCAAAGTCTGTTAATTTTGGAAAAGACAGTCTCTTTAACAAATGGTGCTGGCATAACTGGATATCCATCTGCAGACAACTGAAATAAGACCCATATCTCACACCATGCACAAACACTAATTCAAAATGGATCAAAGACTTAAATATAAAATTGAAAACAATGAGCATCATGGAAGAAAAAATAGGGACAACACTAGGAGCCCTAATACATGGCATAAACACAACATGAACCACACGTAACAACGCACAAGCACTAGAAGACAGACTAGGTAACTGGGAGTTCCTAAAAATCAAACACTTATGCTCATCAAAAGACTGTACCAAAAGAGTAAAAAGACAACCTACAGACTGGTAAAATATTTTTGGCTACGACAAATCCAATCAGCATCTAATCTCTAAAATCTACAAGATACTGTAAAACCTCAACAACAAAAAGAAAAATAACCCTATTAAAAAATGGGCAAAGGATATGAACAGGCACTTCTCCAAAGAAGATATTCAGGCAGCTAACAGACACACGAAGAAATGCTCATGATCATTAGCCAGTAGAGAAATGCAGATCAAAACTACAATGAGATATCATCTCACCCCAACAAGGCTAGCCTTAATCCAAAAAACACAAAATAATAAATG